GGAAGGGGAACTGGAGGGAAGAGAGCCACTCCCCAAATGCCCACCCTCCCCCAAAAATCCAAAAAGAAATTACTTGGAAGAAACAAAACCACATAGAATTCAAGGCAGCTTTCCATGCCCTTTATTTTAAAAATATTCATAAAATTTCAAACAAACTAATGTGTACTTTGAGCCATTGTCACTTGCCAGGTGGATAGAGGAACTGCAAAACCCCAGTTAGAGGGAGTCCTTTGCCACCACTCAGTTGATATATGCCTTGTTGTTCTGGATGTCCTAAAGTGGCTAACATGTAAAATGACTCAATCCCACCATAGTACAGAACAGGAATGCAGAGCCATCAGAGTGTCACCAGAAGCACTGTCCTTACAGCAGGTGGGACTGAGATGAAATCCTTAAGAAAACTGGTTTTCTATCACCATCCAGGTTTGACATCCTTTCTCGGCTTCTTAGCATGTTCTAGAGTCCACTTTATTATAGATATTTAGAGGAAATGCTCAAATTTATTTCTACTACTTCAGTTAGGAAAACAAGGTGAAAAGAGATTTGAAAGATGATGAAGGGAATTGAGCCATAATTCCTGTAAATATAAAATGTATGTTTATGGCCTTCTGGCCTGGTTCTTTTCAGGTCCAGTTTATTTTGAGTTCTCATGAGCAAAACACAAGACACAAAATTGCCCTTGCCTTTGAAATAATAAATACCTTGAAAAGATCTGTATTTTCCCTAAAAACAGACTGAAGTTTAAAAAAATATTTAGTTTAAAACCAGATTGATTTTAAACGTAGTATCTCACAAGACCAAAACGTTTGCTCAAGTCTTTCTCATGCTCTTTGAATATTTTCCAGGGGAAGTAGTGGGAGTAAAGTGACAAGAGTCATGGGCACAAAATAATGCTGCTCTGCTTGTTTGGCTGGAGGCAGATGTAAGGCAGCACAGTGGGTACACCATCAGCCACCAGGAAGCCAGTGGACACAGAATCACACACCCTCCCCTGAACCTGGGATGCCTCACTATGACTCAGTCTCAAACCCTGGGTGCTCCCTCATCTCTGAAGGAGAAATAGAAAAGTGTCACTCCCTAAAATTTCTCCCAAAGCACCCAACCACATCTCCTCAGTTCCTTGGGCCCTTTGAAAACTATGAATATGCATCTTTTGGGGTGCAGCATACCAGAGGTCCTACTAGTACAGCCCAGGAGTGGGGCTCCAGGGCTGACAGCTAAGCTATACTCCTTCCTCTCCCACTTTGCCCTTCGTCACCATCACCAACCTCTCCTCCACCACCACCACTACCATTAACTCCATCACTCCCTTCCTGCATGGGCAGGCCACTAAAATTGAGAGCAAAATTAAGCTGGTATCTTAGCCTATGGTTTTCCAAAGCAGCAGGTTAACCTAGCATCCTGGGATTCCTGGAGCAAAATGTCCCAATTGACATTATAAGGAAAAAGTGAATGTGTACAGGTATGCGTTCGGAGTTGATCAAGTTGATTCTTAGTTGATCAAGACCAGTTTGGTTTCCCTGAGTCAGTTACTACAGTTGGGGACACTACTAGAGTTCATACTTTTGTCCCCTCTTTCTAAGCCACTTAGGGGCCACCTTTTTAAGACTCTAACCTCTTTTGGGTTATTGATATAACATGAAGCTTTAGACCCCTGGATCATGGTAATTAGTTAATGATAATGCTGTCAGTGAGGGGTGATGTTCAGATTGGCATCTTTTATGACAACCACTTTCTGTCCATATTGTCCATTAATTTTATCACTGTGGTGTTATCCGGGGCCACAAATGGATTCACCCATTTTTTTTTGTTTCAATTTAATAAGCCTAAGAAAAGTTAAAAGTAGAAAATTTTGATCCTTCACAACTGAGGCCACTTGCCTCTGATGAACACTTTCTCAATCCCCAATCGCGTTTTCCTCTGGATTATTCCTCTGTCCAATCCCCCAAAATTCCATTTCTGAAAGTAGCCCAAACAACTACTTTCCCTAAACTTTATCTGCTCCGGGTGGAACCGTCTTACTTTGTCTACCTGCTCCCAAGGCCTAAATGTGTTTTTATAAACAGATTTTCTAAATGTATCAAATGTCAGAGGATTGAACTACCAGTATTTACATATTCCGAGTTTGCCTCTTGGTGAAAATGTAAACAAAGTCCACACTACCTGTATTCTTTCATTCAAGAAGCAGTTCTTAAAAAGACTCTCCTTGTACCCCAAACTGCAGACCCACTCAAGTTGGGAGTTAGAGCTGTGTGTAGGTGGCTATTCTGTTCTGATACCAAATGCAAGCCCCTAGTCTTACCAGCCAGCCTGGGTTCAGCTACTCCGGTGCTCTGTTCTGGCCTCAAAAGGCTGTGCTGGGAGCGTCCAGGGTAATTGACCCCTTACGAAAAGAAGAATCAACTCCCAACCGAGGTTTTTACATCCCTCTCTGAGTTTCCTCCCTCCACTGCCCAGCCGGCAAGCCTGAAAACAAACTCTTTCTTGGTGCTGCTTCCTCGGGAGATAGTGGCAGGCCGGGCATGGGCCCCTGAGTACATGGCTGTACCGGAGTTGGACGCCCTCCATTCGTGCTGACCTGGCCTTCCAGCCCAAACCACATAACCGGTGGCGAGGGATCCATGGTCAAGGAAAGAGCTATTCTTAGGAGTCCTTAGAATGAGGCTCCCTTTGAGGCCTGGGACCCGACTGCGCCTGCCCCCAAAAAGCGATGCCCAAGGTGGAGTCATTGATCTCTCTTGGCTACTCTGGCTATGTCCAAGGCCTTTCCGGCCCTCGCCAGCCTCTGAACAGTCTGCCCTCCACTCCTTCTAATTTACAGTCCGAGGGCTCCCGTTGACACCCTTTTCCACACCGAACTCCATCCGGCCGGCAGAATCCTCAGACACACACCAACCTCTCTTGGCTGGGGCCAAGCATCAAGGGTGCTTTCAGCTCCCGCCACTGACCACCCCACCCCTTGCAGTTTGAGAGCTTTCTCAAGACGCTCACGCCACGCGGGCGCCGCGGCCCGGGTGCCCCGCGGCCCGGTGACTTACAAGTGGAGATCCATTTTCTCTTATAATGCGTTCAAGATCACCAAGGCCAGCAGTCTAAACATCCACGAGCCGTCCTCCCGGCCTGCCTCTTAAACTGGCGTTTAATGGTTCCCCTCCGATAACTAAACCTGCTTTCCACAGATGCCCGCTTTTATGGGAGAGGCAGGAATGCAGAGATATATTTATATGTTTGTTCATAAAAACTGGAAAATAAGCTCTGAACACGCTGTAAAAAATATTCAGTTACTCACCAAACAGGCTAGTTAAACCAGGAGAACACCGATACCGTCCACGCCACAGATTCGGGGAATCGAGGTAGCAGCACTTTGAAATCTTCCAAAGTCTCCGATGGGGCTGGTGTCCCTGAAGAATGTGGAAATGAGAGCATTTACAATCAGTATGACCGTTTGCCCGGGGGTCTCAACCGTGATCTACCCAACTTGTCACAATAACCTGAGCCACTCCAAAAACCTCTAAACGAGGTAACTCAATGGCTAAGTAAAGAGCCACTGGTCTGGCGTTTCCGACCTGTGCCAGGTCAAAGGAGCACCCTTCCCCGGCCGCGCGGTGTATCCTCCTCCGCAAAAAGAACTCTTGCGCTCCCAGCCACCCCTTCTTGGGGTCCTCGCGCCTGCTGCTCAGTCCTCGATCCCCCTCACAAAACTGCATTAGGCTTCTGCTCGCTTCTTGCTCGGTTACCTACAAAACACTTCGAAAAGTATTATCTGAGTTCCTTTTTTTTAAAAACGGGGGGGGGGGGGGAAATAGAGTGATACTATACCTGATTCGAGATTCTTCAATATTTGAGACTTGGGGGGAAATATTTTAATAGTGAAGCATCTGTTAAACACTTGCATTAACCTCTGGCTGATTAAAAAAAAAAAGTTTTTTTTAACCTTGCCCCCCCCCCCCGTTTCAATTATCTTATGGTTATGAAGGGACAGCCAATCCTGGAAGAGGACCTCGGCAATTAGCAACGTGAACATCAAAAAGTTTTATTGCGGAGTGCGCGAGGCGCCGCCTCCGCCGCCCCGGGATTGGCGTGAGGAGCCTCTGACGACATATATTAACCCGAGCGGCCCTAAAGATGTAACTGTACATGGAGATCTTGCTGGGAAAATCCGCTTGCTCCCCTCACGGCGTCCAGCCCAGGAGAACAGCCGCCGCCACCCGGGAGCTCTCTCAGCCACCGCGCAGACCCCTACGAGATCCCAAGCCACCGCCTTCGAGCTCCGAGGCGCCTTCCGGGCACCAAATCATTGCCCTGAAAGGAGAGGATCTGAGAAAATGGATTCACTGAGACCTCTCTGAATACCCTCCGGGAGATCCTGAGAGGAGCGTGGACACGTTAGCCGCAGCTAAAAATCACATTCAAGGACCAAAACAACAACCAAAAAATTCATTAAAACAATAAGCGCCCAAGAACCCAGACCGAGCTGGTGGGGGGAGGGGAAGGGGCGGGAAGGGGAGGGTCGCATGGAGGTAGCTTTGCAGTGAGCTGTCGACCCTGCCGCCTCCCCGCAGAGCCGGGCCGGCTCCTCCAGCCGCGGCTCGGACTCGCCCCCGGATTCCAGGTTAGCTTCAGTGCCAAGAGAGCGGCCCGAGCGTGGTGGAGTCCCGCGACTCCGCGAAGCAGCCTCGCCGGAGCGCAGGCACTTTTGCATGAGCACCAGAGGATTCTGCCTCCGCGCAGCAGCCCGGGAAGCAGGAGCCGGCGCGCCGGCTGTAGAGAAAGGCGGGAGCCCGCTGCAGCGGCGGCAGCGTCCAGGGGCGCACGGTGCCGGGACCAGCTCGCCGCGCCCCATGGGGAGCTGGTGGCCGCAGCGCTGCTGAGGCGGGCCCGGCTGGCCAGGCAGGGGGCCGCGGCCCGGGCTGCAGCAGCCCCCACTGCGGCTGCCGGGCCGGCCCGGGCGCCCCGGGGCTGGGGGGTGGGGGGTGGGGGAGGACGCGGGGCGCCGAAGCAGGGGCCCGGGCGGAGGGAGCGGCGGGGCTGCGCGCACGCTGGGGCGCGTGGAGGGGTGCAGAGGGCGAAATGAGTCTGGTAGGGGGTTTTCCTCACCACCCGGTGGTGCACCATGAGGGCTATCCGTTCGCCGCTGCTGCCGCCGCAGCCGCCGCCGCAGCCGCCAGCCGCTGCAGCCACGAGGAGAACCCCTACTTCCATGGCTGGCTTATTGGCCACCCCGAGATGTCGCCCCCTGACTACAGCATGGCCCTGTCCTACAGCCCCGAGTATGCCAGCGGCGCCGCCGGTCTGGACCACTCCCATTACGGGGGAGTGCCGCCCGGTGCGGGGCCTCCTGGCCTGGGGGGGCCGCGCCCGGTGAAGCGCCGGGGCACCGCCAACCGCAAAGAGCGGCGCAGGACTCAAAGTATCAACAGCGCCTTCGCCGAACTGCGCGAATGCATCCCCAATGTGCCCGCCGACACAAAACTCTCCAAGATCAAGACGCTGCGCCTGGCCACCAGCTACATCGCCTACCTCATGGACCTGCTGGCCAAGGACGACCAGAACGGCGAGGCAGAGGCCTTCAAGGCAGAGATCAAGAAGACAGACGTGAAAGAGGAGAAGAGGAAGAAGGAGCTGGTCAGTACCGCGGGGCAGAGGGCGGTAGGGGGTGCGGGGTATAGGGAACAGCTGCGCTCGGCTTCTTTCCAATTGGGCTGAGAAATGGCAGCCCGCATTCTTTGGCTGCATCCAGCGCCAAGGTTGTTTGCACCAGTTTGTGGTAGGGATGGTTTCCTGCATAGGCAGAGGAGATGGGGGAGGATGTCAGCTGGAGGAGGAGAAGGTCTTAAGAGAGACGCTTGGTGCTTCTGATCTTCCCTCCGGGTTATCGCTGCTCCCCCAGGCACTTAGGAAGGGCCTCCCAAACTCTTGGTCCGGATCCATCTCCTGGTCGCACCGTCCGGACCTCTCATTCACTTTCCGTTAGAGCCCTCATTTGGCCTCCAATCCAACCTTGCTTTAAGATATTTCTAAAGTCAGTCTCCCAGAAACTCTCCATTACAATCATTTCACTATTGGTTCCATTTCTTCGTCCAAAAACGAGTTTGCCACTGATTCTGAGCCTTAAGAAAGTTTTATGGTTGCTCCCATTATTATGCCCCAAAGACTTAAAGGTAAACATTAAATAAGTACTTTTAACCTCAAAATACAGCTCCAGTTTCTCTTTGGCTACAATGTAATTTCCCAGATCCGTATACTCTACCACTATTTCTAGTTTTATGAGCCTGTACATTTTAAGACCAAAAAAAAAAAAAAGTAAATATTACTATGGTCATTGTTACTAGCAGTAACTCGAAATTACACTGAACCACTTAAAGTTTTCTCAGATTCCTACCAAGTTCTTATAGCGTAGACAGGGCTATTGCCACGAAGGTCCTGAAAAAATAATTTCCATTTGCGAGATTTTCTCCTTTGAGACTAGCAGCCCTTTGATCGCTGCATAATCGATTGACCTCCCGAATAACCGAATAACCCGAGATTTCAGAGGCCTTGGCGGAGAGGCACTGCAGAGCTGCAGACTGAATGCCGCTGGACCAGAGGCCCAGGCCAGGGCCGAGTAGCCTCCCCAGATTTCCTAGAGCGTGGATCTGGGATTACTATTGAAAACAGAAGATAGACTTAGCGCCAACCACCGCTGCCACCCGCTACACACACACACACACACACACACACACACACACACACACATCTGGAGTCAGAAAAAAAGATCCCCGGTTCCTCCATAAACGACTGGAAAATGGACGGTTGTTTATAAATTTGCCGATCCGGTAGTTGACCGCTGCAAGTTAAAGGCCTTGGCGGTAGACAGGGCATTGCAAACCTTCATAACCTTACTGCAGGGACTGGAACTTGGAACCATCCCCCCAACTCCCACCCCCAGCCTTTCCTCCTCTCTTTCACTGTTTCCTCTGACCCAGGAAGCGCTAGGGTGGTGGGGGATCAGTTATACTCTCTGAATTTCTCTTTTCATTTTTCTCGCCCACCTCCTTTCTGCCCAGAATGAAATCTTGAAAAGCACAGTGAGCAGCAACGACAAGAAAACCAAAGGCCGGACGGGCTGGCCACAGCACGTCTGGGCCCTGGAGCTCAAGCAGTGAAGAAGAGAAGGAGGAGAGAGCGAGTGAGTCGGGTCCAAGGCGCCAGAAGCAGACCCAGCACTCCGGGCAAGCCCTCGGGCTCCGCTCTGAGGACTTCTTGCATTTGGATCATCTGGTTTATTTATGTGCAATTTCCTTCCCCCTCTCTTTGGCCCCCTTTGAGGCATCCGCTCCCCACCTCCCCCTCCAAAAAAAAAAGTGGATATCTGAAGAAAAGCATTCCGTATTTTAATATGAAGAGGACACTCCTGCGTGGTAAGGGATCCCGTCGACTCCTAGATTCTCTGTGTGTGAATGTTCCCTCTTGGCTGTGTAGACACCAGCATTGCCCCCTCCTTGCCCACCCAGCTCCTTCCAGATAAAGACAGCGGACACTAGTGCGTGTGTGAAGTGTATTCTTAATACTTGGCCTTTGGATATAAATATTCCTGGGGATTATAAAGTTTTATTTCAAAGCAGAAAACAGGGCCGCTAACATTTCCGTTGGGGTTGGCATCTAGTGCTGTTGTTTCATATGTGGTGTTCCCTATTCAAAGATGTTTCCAACAGCTACTTGTTTGTGCACTTCCGTCCTCTAAAACTAAGTGGAATTTAATTAATATTGAAGGTGTAAACGTTGTAAGTATTCAATAAACCACTGTGTGTGTTTTTTTTACAAAACCCCTAATCTTTTAATGGTTGATACCTCAAAAGAGTTTTGAAAACAAAGCTGTTATACTTGTTTTCATAATATTTAAAATATTCAGAAGTAAACTAAATTATCATAATTGCCTCTAACTTTATTTGAAAGAGTCAGTGATTCCAATCAATCAAGGTAACTTGTGGTCCTAGAGGCAGAGGAGGTGCTGTTAAAGAGATGCTCCTTGCTGAAATCTGCCCAAGGGCCTGGGCTGTATCCCAGTGACTTACTCTTCCCTCTACCAACCCCCTGCTCCCAGGAGACCACTGAGTGATCTTTAGAAGGAGGCACTGGGCCAGAGAATGGCTACAGTTGGCTGGGAAGGTGGAAAGGTGTCTTGTTTTCCTGAAATCTATTCAGATGCCATTTGTGGGGGCCTGGGTTTGTGTTTGGGGGGCGCATTTTCCGGGGAGGAGGTGTAAGGACAATCCCCGGCGTTATTGCAACGGCAGGAAATAGTCTAAGGCATTTAGTTCAAAATATAGGGCTTTTATCCAAGGGGAGGAAAAGGAAGGGAAAGAAAAAAAAGAAAGGAGGCGGTTTTGCTTTAGTCTGTAGATCAGAGGCTTCTCTTCTAGGCAAGCTAGATTGGGGGCGGTGGGGGGGACTTTTGAAAAAAAATCTATGATTAGGTAACAAGGAATTTTACGTCAAGTAAGAAATCGCGAACAAGACCACAGATTTAAAGGGGGGCCAGGAGTGGGTTAGATTTACAAGGAGCTACAAGGAACTCAATATTAACTGCGGTGTCTGAAGTCTTCCCGGCCGCAGCCCAGCAGAGAGCAAACGGCACCCTCCCCTGGCTACCAGCAGCCCAGGACTTCACCCTGTCGAGGGGTTTGGTCTCCAGGAGTCCTGTGATATCCCGGAACAGTGTCCCTGCGGCCTCCTTTTCCCGTGGGCTTGGCTAGAGCTTGAATCTCAGCTCTAGAAACCAGAGAAACTGTAGTGCCATAAAGCACTGACTCTGCAGCCTGTGGGGAGGAGGTGCAGGAGAAGGGGGGAGGGATTCCGGAGGAGGGAAGAAAGGTGAAACGTATTAAAAAGCGGTTTGTTTCATGAAGCGCCACGTATATAAATCTGGTGTCGGAGAGGCTTGCCAGAGGGTTTCCATCTTGGAACTCATCCTTGGGGTGATGTTCGCACCTCACCAGCAGGCACCGACCCTCCTGCGATATCCCAAGGGTTCCCACGCCTCGCTGGTGCCTACTCTGACCCGGTCGCTTGCAAGCCAGCCACATGAGGCCGGCGTGGGCGAAAAGATGAGCGAGTGGCTCTGCGGACTTCTGCGGGCGGCTGACATCGCGAGGGCCAGGGGTTAGAACAACTCGGCCAAAGCGATCTGAACTTTCTCCCCTCAGGTCAGCCGGCGCTGGGCCGACCCGGTGGGCGAGGGGCTGTGTTTACAGACACTTGCCTTTGTTTATAGCACTGGGGTGGGGTGGGAGGGTTAGGCGCGCCCAGGTTTTCGTTTGCTCTCTCCATTCTAGTCGGTTTGACTGAGTGACTCCCTCCCTCTCACTTCCAGCTGCCTTCTGCATCTTTATTTTTATCCACGTAGGAGAAAATCTCCAGGTCCTAGAGGTGGAAGAAAGGATTCTACCAAAATGATGAAGTGAACGGTGGTGGAGGCCGAGAGGTTTTAAAAAACATGAGCCAGAAAGGAATTAACTTCATCATGCACGTGTGCCTGTCAGTGCTTTGGGTAGCTGATCTTCCCAACTGGGCCTTAACACACTTCTGCTGGTTTAACACACTTTTTCCCCTGATTTATTAAATACCCAATAGAGGGGAACCAAAGACCCTGATGCACAGTCGTTGCTATGTAGCAGCCTGCCAATATACATGCTTTTAAGCCCACCTTCCATACCCAGCCTCTATCTAGCTGGGCCAGGCACTGCCCATCTCCTCCCCCTCCTGCCAACCTCTGTTTTCTCTGGCCTAGAACACCAGTCCTTACACCCTATCCTCTTTGCCATTCCAGCCGGCCAGACACACAGCAGATTCATACCGCAGCAAGCCGAAGACTCCAGCTGTCCTGACATTTCAGGCTTCCCCTAACTGGAGGCACACTCAAACTTGCCTGACTGCTACCAACAGGACACCCCAGATTATCCCTTACCTCAGCCAACAGACATCACAATCGTCCCAATGCTCTCAGCCACCCAAAGTCCTTGTCCCATGTTGTCAACATCCCAGAAAAATGAGTGGTGCGTGGGGCAGGTTTCTTTTACACTTCCATGCTTTTCTCTTCTACACACTTCTTTCTCTTTCAATTCCCTTTCTTCTTTGTTTTAAAAAAAAAAAAGTTTCCAAGCTTCTGCTTGTGGGACTGACTAAAAGGCCTCTGTTTTAATTGCTTGGATAATGTGGTTGCTGCCATTTTGTTAAGAGCAATCACTCCTGCAGCGAAATCACAAGCACTCTAGACAGGCCGGAGCCGACAAAAATGTAGGATTTGACGTTAAAAGCTAAATGGGAAGCTGGAAAGGCGGAAGGTAAATTGATGGTAGATCTGGCTGTCAGGGCTGGGCCCCAGACCGCTGCACAGGCCTAAAGCCTGATAACCCTGAATCACCAGCAGGCAAGTGCTCCCTGTTGTGGTTGTATGGAAGTGGGTGTGTGTGTTTCTGCAGACCCATTCTTAGCTTGAGAATACCGTGTGGGGCCCCAACTATACTCCCTGCACCCAGTCTCAATTTTCCCAGAATTTGCCAGGACACTGACAGCAGTTATCAGGGATTTTTTTAGTCTCATATTCTGAGATGGCAGCCAGATTTCTTAGGGTTCTGCTTGCCTTCTATATCCCAGAGCCACACTCTGGAAGCTGGGGGAGAGGAGCTCCAGGCTTGAGGTGGGTTTGCCAGCAGGCAGCAGCATCTACCGAGGGTAGATCTCCCAGCTTAGGTTGCTCTAATTAAGTGTAGGAGAAACCAGTGACCTGGTTGTTTCAGCAATGAGATGGATGCAGCAGTGAAAAAGCAAGAGTAGCCTCCGGGACCCTTGGTAAACAGTGAGTGCAGAGTGGGAGTAAAGGATGGCTCAATGCCATCCCTTTACCTAGGACACTGCTGGCTGCTTGCTGCCTCCAGCTGACAAGAATGGAGGACCTATCTCTCAAAGGTGTTAAGGCAGCCAGAGAATAAGAGTTGGGCACCCTCAGAATTCTCAGGAAAGAGGTGTGGAAGATGAGTTCAAATGCAAAGACAGGGAACAGAAGGAGGCCTCAGGACACCTTCTAGGACTATTGCTTTTCAGAGAAAACCTTGGCCATTTGGGAGGGCCTGTGTGTGTGTAAGGGACAGTAGGCAGCAAAGGATGCCATGAAAGCCAAAATTACATTTGCAAAGCTGGTCTGCAAAACGAGGGAAACCGCTATTATTCCTGGAGCTTTAACCAATGGCTGTTTCTATCCTTGCCTGCTCAGCTCACAGTTTTCTCTCCCACAGCTGCCTTGCGGTTTCCCTACCTCTCCTTGTGCTTGAGTCCCACCACGCACCAGAGGTTAGAAAAGGGACTGGCTTGTGGATGCCAAGCAGAGGTGGTCTGAAAGGAAGCTTGTGGCGATCCCCACAGAGGACTGAATCTGGACCCTGAGCAATGCCCATCTATTCTGGATCTTAGGAACCTGTTCCCTGAGATTCAGATCTCCTTGCAAGGAGAGGGCGCTAACGAGTCTCCCGGACATTACCAACTCCGGTCCTGTTCAAGCCCTCCCTTCTGTCCAAGGAGAGAAAACCTAGAAGCCTCCCTTAGACCAGGGCACATAAACCGACTGGAGGCCAGCAGCCCTCTCCCCGGAAAGCTCCGCGGTACAGCGAATTGCTGCTGTAGAGATTATGGGTTAACTCTTTCAAAAGCGGGGAGGGAACACTCCGCAGAGGAAACCAACCCCACGTTTCCGGGGCCAAGGAGTTCTAAGCACCCTGCCTTACCATCCAGCTGGTGCCTCAATGCGTACTCCCGCACCCCAACTGTCCAGTTCTAATTAACTTGTAACCGCTAAGCGGTTTCGGCCTGTCGGGCTAAAGGAAGTTAAAGTACACCGAGAATCTGAGTTACAGACGTTTAAATCTGTGCACAGAAGTTTAAATTTATCTCCCCATTCTTGTTACTACACCCTGCCCAAGTCAGTTCCATTTAAGAGCGCGCCCCCTCTTTTCCCCAAAACGCAACCCCCTACACGCACATTTCCTCCATATTCTCCTGGCATTTGGGTCGCTTTGATGATCAGATGGTAGAGCCTTGATTACAAATTTATTCCCGGCTGCTCCGTCGGTCTTTATCTCCGCTATTAGGGCCATCTGGGAGTGATTAGTGCCGCGCCCGCGCCCGGCCGCGCTTGCCTATCTCGCCGCGGCGGGACCCGGAGCCTCGCTGACGTCAGGGCAGACGGCTCGGAGCCATCCCAGCCGAGCTGGGTGTAATCGGCGGCTGCGCGGCCAAGTCCTCCCAGGGCCAGGCCGGCAGCTGAAACGCGCCGCCCGCCCGCGCACCGGGACATTCTAAATATGTATTTTTAGCCCAGAAGGCTTTTTTGTTTTCCTTGTTTGGAGCGAGGAGGAGCCAGTTGACGTTTTAATGCCCCCTCCCCACTTTAAATTTTCCAGCCCTCCAGGTCTCAGGCATTCCTCCTGGAAAAGCCTCCCACGTCCGGCCCCAACCATCGAGCTCTCTTTGCTCTGCCTGAGCCAGGACGCCGCTCTGCTACACCCGCAACTTCGGCCTGGAAGACAGTGACAGTGCAATCCAGGGTCCAGGGCAAGAGAGGGGGTGTCAGACTGCTCTTAGGGCTGCCAGTCTCGCACTTGCACCCGCTTGGCCCCTACAGCCCTCCGGTCAAGACTATGGTAGTTTCTCCCCAGTGGGGCATTCTGGCAGAAACTGGTTATGGGACGCGACGTCTCTTAAGGATTCAGCCTTTGCACCTGCTATTAAAATCTAAAGGATCTCGTGAGCTGCTGCGTTTCTAACACCCTGGCAGGGCGAGGATAGCTGACGGACTTCTGTCCTATACCGTGTCTCAGTGTTTAGAGCAGAGTCTGGATATCAATGTATACATACAGAAGGCCTAGACCTCTGACCCTAGCGCTCTGAGAGCTGGTCTGGCCTCTCGTGGGGTAAGGGTTGCTAGGATGGATTTAACACCTGAATCCTTCATTCTCCAGGGACCTTTCCATCCCCCTGGAGAATTTGATAAAATGAAAAACTCAACTCTTATTTCATACCAGCTTCACCAGAAATTCTGATTCAGCAGCTCAGGGACTGATTCCCGAACCCTGATTTTCAAGAGCGCTGGCTGAGTATTCCGGAACCACTACCTGAGGCCACACCCACTCACCGCAATTGGTCCCCCCTCCTCTACCCACTTTTCTTCGACCTTTGTGGGGGGAAAAAAAGGATAGAGGTGGCTTTGTCAAGGACTAGGGAGGACTGGGGTGAGGCCTGCATTATTGAGAGAAAATGTGCCATATAGTGAATTAATTTTGCCATGCAGATATTCAAAGCAATCTCAGGGAACTGGAGATGTAGCTCAGTGGTAGAACATTAGCCTAGCATGCAATTTATTTCCACAACTATTTAAAAGGGCAAACTAAGTATTCAGTCAGAGGCATCGGTGAATTTATCTAGAGGGAAAAGAAGCCCATGATTTGAGTGGAATTACAAAATCTACTGGGGGGGGGGACCAAGAGTAAGGAAACTAAATTGAGAATTCAGTAGCAAAATAAATAAATAAATAAATAAATAAATAAATAAATAAATAAATAAATAAATAAAATCCCAGAAGATTATTCTGTTAAAATTATTTGAGACAACTCTATACACCAAATACAAAGTGTCTTTGTATCATCTAGAAAGAAAAAGGGGCATTTCCTTCTAAATCAGGGAAAATGTTGAACTGAGAGGTTGGTTCTCCCTTCCCACCCACCCTTACCTTTAGCCAAGGGGGAAGAAAACATTGAGCTTTGTGGTTTGGTGGTAGGGGTAGGGAATAAGAAACATTTAGATAACTATATCCTTAAGACTGGAGGACCCTGGCTTCTCTGTGATTCTAGAGAGAAAAGGGACAGGCAATGGCTGCACAACATGCAGTTTGCTACAGTGATCTGCCTTAATGGTGGAGTCCACTCAGAAAAATAGCTAGTTTTCTGAATTATTTAAATCACTCAAATACAAGAAAATCCACATCACTGTGCCTATAGTACTTTCTTGCTCAGAGTATAGATGGTTTTTCAACTTGCATTCGATGGAATGGATGACATGGGTCACAGGTCCAGAGAGTCTTCTTTATATTCCCAAGCAAAGAAGACAAACTTGCAACAGCTAACCAGTTAATGTAACGGATTACATAGTATCACCAGTGCTCTCCCCCAACCAATAACCCAACTGTTTTCCTAAGTATTTTTTTTTATTTCAAGTAGTGTTTTTAATGCACAACTCTTTACAAGTCATCAGACCCTATCAACTCCGTGTTTCTCTGTGACCAAATGGAGTGCTTCAAAATACCATTCTTGTTGTAGCACCAAATCATCTTTCAATACTTTAAGCAGCTCTGGGACTAGATTCATTTGTGACCTAGAACTAAGGAGTCCAGGAGAGGGCAGATTTTCCTGTAGAGGCAGTTCGTTTGGTTCTCTGTTGTTTGTTGCCCCACCAACTGAAATGACTTAGAACAAACAGTGCTCTCTGTCAGGGGCAGAGAGTTTTCAACCTTCATAAGTACATTGTCTAGAGAAGATGCCAAAAAAGATATTATTCTAAATTAAGAGGGCCGTAAATCCGTCCCTTGTTTAAAAAAAAAAAAAAAAAAAGGGAAGTCAATGGCTACTGGTGCCAATGCACTATCGCCTTCCATTTAAAGTGGGTTGTTATTGTCATTGCCAGGAGCTGATATCTTTATGATAAAGGCAGAAACGCTGGGGGTGGAGTCCGGGGTGGGGTAGGGGTAAGGGTTGTGATTGCTTTTGTTTTGTTTTTCAAAAAGAAAATCTGAAAACGCAACCTAAGTTTGTAACTACTACTTGGGGGAGAAGGAAAGCCCGTGCGGTTTTAATGGGGGAAAGTGGCGGCCAGGCCGTCTGACCATCGCCTTCTCTTTGCAAATCTGGTTTTCATATTCTCTCCGTAATCACCCAAAGCCATAACTGTCTCTGAAATTATTCATTAAAGTCATTTTCAGGGATTCTCACTGGATGACTCTTTACGTTTATGATCTTCTGAGAGCAATGACATCAGCCTCTGTCTCTTTCCGCTTTTAATTAATGTTCTGGGAAGACCATAGGGGCTGTGGCTGTGTGCGTGGGGAGGGGGCGGGCTAGGGGTGGAATCCACCGGCCATTCTGCTCCTGGCGCGGTCAGCTGAGCTCCGGCGCGCAGACATCCTTTGATTAAGGAGGGTATTTCGGGGAGTGCAGGCTGTGCAGAAGATCACGGCTGTGCCCTGTGGTGCTGTCAGCAGTGACAGATCCCAGATGGGGCCGCTACTGTATGGCAGATTGAGTTTCTCAGCAGAAAACTCACCCTTCCTCCTAAACGTCTTCAAAAACCTTCTCCAGATACTCCAGGTCTCTTCGTGTGAAACTGAAACAGTCCAACCCCAAAGTCGGTTTTGAGTGCGTAGACGTTAAGGTTCTCCCTCACCCCCCTCTTTTTCTCTGCACTTCCTCCTTCTTTGAGCATCTTCGACCTGGCTACTAAGATCGTAGATATGGTGGGCCTGGGGGCTCCTGTTCGACCGCCTCAGAGCGCCACGCCGACGACCCAGCATCGAGGGCCCCCCCAAGGCAATCCGGTGGGTAGGGGCGCGGCATTCGGGACGCGGGGCTTGCTCCAGAGCCCCCGGGAAGCTGGGATGGACTGCACCAGCCAAACACTCAGCTCAGAGATCTGGAGAAGCTGGGGGCAGGGAGGGAGGGACAAAGGCGGAAAGAGAGAGTACCCTGGCCTGGCTCTAGCCACGCATTCTCCCGGGAGATGGCCGTCTGGCTGGTCTGGGTAATTCCTAAGGGCAGCACGGAGCCCAGTAGGAGAGGCTTTGGAGTTGGGAAATGATGCGAAGGTGGGTCCCAGGAGCCTGCCGAGGCCCCGCAGAGTTAGGGATGAGTAGAAGGGGAGCTAATGAAGTTCAGGCTAGGATCTAAGAAGGAGAGTGGACTATATGGTCTCCAATGTTAGAAGGGGTGCATGGAGACCCAGGTTTCCACATTGATATTCACCCACTTGAGGTTTGCCCGTCTGGACCCCCAGTTTTACAATCCTGGACACAACTTGGGGTTGGAAACTCTGTTGCAGAAACATTTGCATTTATAAACCTTTACTCAAAAAGTAACTTCATAAAGAAATGCCCCGGGGCCCCTGCTTCCTCAGAGGCAACTAGGTTCCTCCTCTCCCCTTATTTCCCACCGTAAGCTTCCAAGATCCTCTCCCGGGAGCTGCAGCGGCCTGTAGAACGCGGATGAAAGGCAAAGAGGACCCGGCATGCGGCGTGCGTGGCACCTAGATTAGGAGAGCATTTCTAGGCCCCACCCATCCCTGCCCCCAGGTCCTCTTAACTGCGGATCGTAGGGTGTTCTGCAGGCGAAGCACGAAAGTGCAGAAGCAGAGAATTCCAGAGAGTTTTGTTTTGTTTTAATTTAAAAAATTAGCAATGTTTTTCCCCTTCAAAATACCTTGCAGCCTCCGCCATCCTACTCCCACACCCTCTCCGGATGAGGCAGTAGGGAGAGCTTCAGTTGGGTTCACGAAGGAGCTCCTAAGGAACAGAGGGGAGCTAAAAATACCTCAGATGTCAGGCCAAGGTCTTACCCACCTTCCCCCATCTCCCAGGCCTTACCGTAGAGGGGCAGTCGCCTTCCCCACCCGAGGGCCATGCCAGGCTGTTGGGTCTCTTCCTTCCTTTGAGCTCGGGCTAGGCTAAGGCCCCACAGCCATTGGGGAATGTGGCCTTCTCTTTGCGTCCTGACCCAGGTCTTTTGTGGCCAAGACCTTCACTCTTGAAGAAAAACTCCGGTCCAATCTTTAGAAAAAATTAGATGCCACACTTTTGACGCTTTCCCATTTGCCCCTTCCGCATACTCAATTTTTAAAAAGAAAAGAGATGGGACCACTAGACCCTGTTTTATGTCAACAACAATCCGTTCACGCAAGTATTCTCCCCTTTATGTGGTGAGTGGTATGGATGCAAGCAGTTGCTTGCAGTCCTGGGACACGACCTGATTTGGGAAGAACCCGTGAACTTCTTGTTACAGCCCTCTCCCCCCCACTGAAAAATCTGGCAGTGATTTACCTCGTAACTCCCCCCTCAGTTATCAGATTGAACCGCAAAACTCTTTATACAAAAACAAAAACACACAGCGAATTTCAAAACTCCCGCTCGCCTCCTCTAGAAGGCAGCTTTTATTTAAACTGCCCACGCTGGATGAAAGTAGTTTATTTTGATTTTTTTTTCCCCTTGTACCCACATGCCTTGTAAAAGGTTCCTGTGCACGGGGCTGGCCCCCCTCTGATGACCGCAGGGCCTTGCTTCCAGACTGCAGTCCCCGCCACTTGGTTTTAAGTCCTCGCCTGGAGCCGAGGTGTAATTGTGACCCCGCCCGAGCCGCGATCCTCCCGGGGGGACGGTTGGCCCAGCCTGCGTAGGGGCCCGGACCTCCCAAGTGGCAGCCTGGGCTCCGGGAACCGCGTGGTCCTCTCCTTCCGTGCCTCCTCCCCTTTTCCCTCCCCTGCGAACTTTGCACGTTTTCTCCTAGGTTCTTTAGTTTGCTGGAGCCTGGGCGCACAGCGTAACACCTCTTTTCCTCTCCATCTTCATCCCTGAGCCTTTTTCTCTCTAGCACCGTATCACCGCTCTCTCCATCGTCTTCATGTTGAAATTCTGAGTGCAGAGAAGCAAAGTGAGGTTTGTTCAGAATCTGGGGGAAAGAACCGGGAACCTCTGGCCCCCTCGGCGCCTTGGCAGAGTAGGAACCGGCGCGCTTCTGCGTAACGTCAGCGCGCGGGGTAATTTACCTTCCCTGCGGGTCTGTCAATGTGACTAATTTCCACAGGGGTCAAAAAGCCTTTCTCCAGCAGTCCATCTTGGAGCACTCTCTTACGAAGTAGACTGGATTGGTTGTTTTGTTTCCAGTTCTAGAAGTAAATACTCTTGGGGCGTCCCTGCCAGGGCAGCCTGAGATGAGCAGGGGAATATACACCGTGTCAATTAAAGGTAGTTTGCCATGAACTACGAACTGTGGTTGGGTTTAAATGACAGAAACCCGCTTGCCTTTAATACACATCACCTAACTCGTCCTGGATACCAATGCTTTCTCTAGAAAAAAGTTTAGAAGGCGAGTGAGTCATTATTATTCCAATTGTTCTCTGTCGTGTGAAGATCCCTACTGAAACATTTTCCCTGCATTCCAGGTGTGATTTAAACAGAGTATACACGCGTGTGTGCTTATCTGGCCTAGAAAGACAATATTTCATTTGAGTGGTATTTTGCAATAATTTTTAAATCTGCTACCGATTTTTAAGAGTGAATCAGTGCTGTGGAGTTAAATCTTCTCCAGGACTCGACAGAGGCAGCCGATTGTTACTGGTTGCCTAACCCGGACTCACTTTGAGAAAAGTGTTGAAAGACACCAACGTGCCTAGGAGTCGGGATGATTCCCTATCTGCAAAGTCCTCCCCTGTCTGAAGCAGGGAGTGGGGAGATGAAGGCCATTCATTTCTTAGAGTCTCCAGTGGGGGCCTCTTGGGTGTTGGAGGAGGTAAACTTCTCCAATCCAGGAACTAGGATGCAGAGAGAAGTGAAAGTCGTCCAACCACCCATTTTCCTCCCACGCAGGCTCAAGCACTGAGGACCTAACTAATGAACTACCCGAAGTTAAATTTTTTTACAAACACTTGAAGGAAGCACGCTCTTTCCTCCTTCTTGAGACCTTTAGGTAAATAAATGCCTGGATTGGGGGCCATTTGGTTTCCGCAGAACCCACGGAAATCCTAAAAATTAAGCACGCGAGATAGAAGCGCTAGCAAGTCTCACCGAGGTCAGCCTCAATTCGTGGTCCCTGGCCCCTGCCTGCGGGGGTGTCTGGCAGCGCCAGGACAGCCCTAGCCCCACAGTCACATCCGCATACCTGCACCGACAGACTCAGAGCGTATGCGAACACACACACACACACACACACACACACACACACACACACCTCTTTTCCTCTCTCATCTGTTGGTGCATTTATGACCTAATGAAAGCATATCCTTTAGGGAAAAGACTGTCTATAAAACGGGAAACACGAAGAACCCGTTCGGATATTCCCACTCCACCGCAGAGCCGATTTTGAAGCGCTTTGTTATTTGTGTGATTGTTGTTGCTATTGTTTATTTTGTTTTGTTTTTAACACAAACACCTTGACTCCCTCTGTTGCTTCCATAATCACCCCGTTATTTTTATTGAAGGATGAGAATTGGTTCTAAGAGATCTCCGCTCATTCCCTGTGGAAGGGGAAAGGTCTCCAGCCTGAAGACATATCTTTATTTGGGTGAAGGCATTCTTTTGTGTGTGGTGAGGGGATTTTACTGTCTATCCTTTGTCATCTTTGAAAAACCCTGGCACCATATGTTTCAACTTCTACAAACAGCTGGGGAAACTAAGGGCTCTTTCAACTCGCTTTCATTTCCTTCCAGCTCCACTGTTTCCCCCATCACCACCGTTTTGGGTCTCCAAAACACGGACCTATCATTTGGCCTGGTCACTATCTGAAATACCTCCCAGCTTCCAATACAATGGAGTACACTGTGGAAATCACATAAGCTCCCACCTGCTTTTGTGGGGGGGAAATTGATCTGTTGTGTTTGGAGCAGGACCTGTTTATTAACAGATGGATAAAGCAGAGATTATTCCCCACTGTGGTTTTCTACATTCCATACCTTTAAATAAGACAGCTTTTAATAGTCCCTTTCATTTTGCAATTTGACCTTTGCCATGAGAGTGGTTTAAGCTGTTTACTAGTAGGGATTTTGCAACAGGAAATACTGCAGGAGACATAAACATCAGTGTGAGCCACAAAGCTGTGTCCTTTGGCAGAGTGGATTTGTTTATTTGCATATTTCTTGAAGAACACAGTAGTTCTAACTTAACATATTCTCGGCATCCCAAGGCTATTTAATGACCCAGAAATGGAGTGGATCAATTATTCAACTCATGCTTGGTTGATCCCTTGTATTTCTGAATTTTTGTCACTACCCTAAGTAGTGCTATTTTTAATCTCTTTGTTTTAAAATTTAGGTTTAGAACAGGGCATTTCCTGAATAGGATTTGCATAAAAAAGAACTTTTACATCCGATTAGAGCCTTGGGAAAGGGTTAAAGTGTTTGATCCACCTGAGAGATTTGAGAGGATGTGGGTGCAGGGAAAGTGCTCTGAGAAGCACTAGGTGAGGGTCTTGTCCTCTTTGTAAAAGAACTTGTCCATTTTGAAACATCTATTAGAAGTGTCAATTCTTTGCAGTGGTGTTCTAGCTTTGCCTTTCCGTGTGGAAATTAGGGCTCAGCCTTGCAAGTCTGTCTTCCCTGTGACTTAACAGAGGAGCAAATGGCTTTTAAAAAACTGGCCTGTGTCCTTGCTTGGGAAGATTGAAAAAGACAGGAGGAGTGTGCATTTTGACTCACCTAACATTTTATATTTCTGCCTAAAAATATTATTCTCTAGTGCACTTTGCACCTTATGACCCATTGAAGAAAACAAAGTTTATTACATGTTTTCAGTCTCATTTTCTTAGATGACATCTAGATCTTCTACGTTAATATGAT